ACTGCTTTTCTTAAGCAAGCTTGACATGGGAATCTTCTTTCTCTCATTTTCATTGTAAAACATAAACATAATATCAATGATTTTACTTTGAAATAGTTTCTATAGCCCTGTTAGATTAATTTTCCTAAAATAAAAATGTTCTCCAAAGCCAAAAATTCTTCAGCAGTTTCTATTAGGACCTGGTCCAAATTTCCTAGCCTGGAATCTGGATCATCGCATGGGTGTCTGTCCTGTCCCTACAGAAATCTTGTGTTCCAGCTGGTAGCCTTGTATTTCTCCAAACACATGCAGTTAGTTGCAGGCTCAAAGTGTTCACTTGTGATGAACCCCAGGAGCAACACCTTCCTCCAGGACACCTCTTCACCCTACGTGATGTCTCTCCAACTCGTTTCTTTTCCATCAATGCATGCTGATCTCTAGCGTTTCTCCTCCAATGTCACGGACTCCTTTACAAAGAGTCTTCTCTGTGACTGGCAGACTGAGAGACGTTAAAGGGCCTCCTAGGGAACCTGAATCAGAGCACTTTCCCTAGAAGAATACTTTGGAAGATTAAAATGTGTATTTTTATAGAGTTTTCAATTTTTAGTACTTACATATGCTCTCTGAATTTATATCCTGAATTTATTTCACCACAGCCCGTGTAGCCCATGATACAGTTGACTTTAAGTCTAGGTAGATAATGCAAGCAAAGGCTTTTCAAAGTAAAAAAACAGTCTTTGACATAGATGTGTAAAGCTCCATCATATTCCCTTTAAAAACTGGTTGTAATAAATAAGTCATAAAGTGCATCTTGCCAAATAAATTCTGAAGAGAAAGCACATGCTCCAGAGAGCACATGTTTGGATTTGGCTTCCCTTAGGCAAGGCAAGTTTTCCAACCTCTTGCACACAGACAAGCCAGGTTGTGTGTACCTGAGAGTTCTTTCACTGGGATAATCTTCTGGCCTTTCAGTGGAGCATCCTGACTTCCTCTGATGAGTCACGCTGTGTTGATGCAGGGAAGGAAAAGAGAGAAAGACACTGTGGAGACCTTTTATCTGCTAGGCCCTGCACTCCATGCTTTGATGTGTTTAACGACTGCACCACTCCCGTGCGATGGGTGCCAGCATCCTCTTTGCTATGGAGGAGGAAATTGCAATGACAGGATCAGTCCAAGAGCTGGGTTCTTTATTTCAATCCAAGGTAAACAAAGTAATAATTACCCATGATTGCAGGTATGCCCATTCTGTTGGGAAATTAGATATAGCAAGACAGGAAAGCACGCTCAGGGATGCCAGGACTCTGAATAGATGACCCATGCTCACAGCAGATGACGGCATCTGGAGTGGCAGCGTAAGGCTGTGGGGCTTGCCAATCCCACAGGGTACTATCGTCATGCCGTTTTGTATCTTTATTAGGACAATTGCTGAGCAGAGGTCAGGGAACACTCTCATTCCAATCAAAACAGGGCATGTGACCAATTTTCCAACAAACACAAGTCAAGGAAGCTGAGGAAGGATACTTTGTCTTAGTGATGTCCAGGACACCAGCTTCGTAGGGTAGGAGAGGTCAGGATGATGGTGTCCTTAATTCACTGACTGCCTAGGCCTCTCCTGGGTGGTCTGACTCTGCTCTTTGCCTGGATCAGTGTGGCAAAACTTCCATGGTTTCTACAAAGTGAACCCAATTTGGAGGAGAATTAGTGAGGTACTTTGTAGAAGATTTCCCTATTGGGATTTATCTGTTGTTTTCCCCATTATTATTATTGGTAGTAGAGATTACCCAGGGCCTTCAAACTGAATTACATCCCCAGGCATTTTTTATTTTCTGTTTTGAGACAAAGTCTTGTTAATCTGCTAACTTGCCCAGGTTGGGCTCAAACCTGTGATTCTCTCACCTCTGCCTTCAGTTTAATATGGCTTTTAAGAAATTAAAGGCAGGCCAGAGATATAGCTCAGTAGCACTGTGCCTGCCTGGCAGGTGTGAGGTCCTGAGTTCAATCCTTAGTAAAAAAAAAAAAAAGAAAGAAAGAAATAAAGAAAAAAGTGTCAGCATACGTAGGAACTAAGCCAGAAAATAAATTTTAAATGTTTATTTCATAAATTTCTGTAACATTTTTCAATTAGCACAGAAGTTTTTCTTAGTACAGAAAAATAGCAAATGCAAATGACAAGGATGGTCTTTTGTTTTGGCATATCTAGCCGTAATTTTTAGGAGATTGAAATTACCAGTTAAACTTCTTTTTCACATTATCTTCCCAGCATTTCAGAGCTGAAAGTGGGCATTTCAATTCTCAGCTCTTCCTGCTTTTATGAAAATGGCCACCCCAACCCAGGTCTGGGTGAAGGTCCCATGACTGCATCACAGACCCCTGGGCATTAGTAATAGATGGAGGCTCTACTCCCAGCACGTGGCTTTTCTCTTGGAGGAATTTGAAATGCAGAAGCGGAGGACACTGGGGCTCTGGGATGTGGGGGAGTTGAGAGTAGAGGCCAAGTGCATTTGTGGACCTGCTTTGATGGACTTCAGCCTGATGGTCCAAACCTTCCACCAGTTCCACTGAGATAGTGTCCTCTCATATATGCACTAATTCTTTTAAAAATCAATTCTATTTTTAACAACAGTTTTAGATTTACAGAAAAATTGACAAGCTAGCATCAAATCTTTTTGTTTCCCTGCCTACCTACCTTCCCTTGTAAACATCAGGGCAGTACATTTGTTATAAATAATGGATCAGTAGACTCATATTTACCTGCTAGATTCTGCTAGATTCCACAAGGTGCCGGGTCATTAAAGTCCACACCTTATCCAGATTTCCTCAGGCTTTACTTCACGTCTTCTTCTGTTGCAGGATCCCATCATAACATATTTACTTGTTATTTCTTCTTAGATCTCTCTCTGCTGTTGGAGAATTAGACTTTCCCTTTTTCTGAGGAGCTTGGCAGTTTGGAGGAGAATTAGTTGAGGGTTCTGCAGAATATTTTCTCCCTGGTGAGACTGAGGGAGCGGGTTCTGAGGAGGAAGCCCATACTTAGTGGTAACGCACTGAATCTTCACTGTTGATGTTGGCCCTGCACGCAAGGCTGAGGAGTATTAGGTTTCTCTCCTTTGAATTTACCCTTTTCTCCTCTTTCCATATTAAGCTCCTGGAAAGAGGCTCACACTGAAGGGATTTCTTACTTTGAGGGTATTTACATGGATAACTGTGGACTTCTTTTGGGTGGGAGACTTGCTTATTTTACCGGCAATCATTTATACATTAAGTACAGATTCTTAAAACCTGATCCAGTTTAGGAGATGTCATCTCAGATACCTACAGTGTCTGAGCAGGCAGGAAGTGGGATGAGAGGGCAGCTGGTGGGCATGTGCATGGAAGACTGTAAAGCACACCAGCTCAGAAGGGCACCCTGTCTGCCCTGGCAACTGTTGCCAGAAGGGAATGCACAATGGGGCCATAGCTTCCTTCTTCTAAATGTAGAAACCAGTCAGCTAGACTTGTATGTGCAACCTGCTGACTTTGAAATGCTGGCAATGGACTCGAATTGCTATAAGCTTTATGCTAGAAACTGCAGCTGAGATCCATGGTCTGTGATTCACTCCTTGCCTATCTTTTTAATAAGACTGTACAAGTTATCCCAGGACCCACTGCTAGCTGTGGCTTCTATACTGGCATTGTCATTCAGGGCTCACTGGACAAATTTCTCCTTTGGCAATTCTTCAGCAGTTTTTAATTTTCTCAGAATCGTTTAGATTTTGTCCGAGATTGGCTGCCTTTTAACAGGCACATGTAGAGGCTAGAAATTCTGCAATACCTCCTCTTTCATGATGTGGGTGGTGCCTTAATTTGATTCATGAACCACTACTCATTTTTCCTTGTTTCCTTCTACAATCTCCAGCCCACTTGCTTGTATAACCCTGATATTACACTGCAGATGAATGAGTTGGGGAAACACCCGTATTTGCATTGATTGCAAATGCACAACTCAGAATTCTGTGATCGCCTAGAGCAGGGTGGAAAAACTAAAGTATGTGTGTCACAACCTGCTGCTTGGCATCACTGAAGCTCTAAAAGGTTTGCTGTCACTCTTCAGCAGGCTCTGAATTTAGCCTGAAACATTCTACTTTTCCCTTAATCCAGTATCCACCAAAGTCACTGGCACCTAGTAGGCACAGGAAGTATTTCTTGAGTGAATGACAGTACTAATGACGTTAGTAAGATGAAATATCAACACATAATAATATGGGTGAAATCCAGGAGAAATCCAATACTGCGGTAATTGAATTATTTGGTATTAGAAAAAGCACAGATGTGCTTAGTTTAGAAAGTTATTATTTGATTATTACAAAGAATAATGGGAACTGTAAATTATGAACAGTGTAAATTATTTTCCTCTGAGGAAACATTAACCCCAGAGTCAATTCTTTAGCTGTGTCATATATCTTGGAGCCTTAAATTTGTCTTTATTTAATGTCTCTATGCATCTTTTTGGTTACGTAGCTTTTAAAAAAAATCTTAATTGAAGTCATGTGTCAGAGACTGACCTAATAAATTCCTTTGTTTTCCGCTTATCTACCAGAGACATGGATTTTTGTTTGTTTGTTTGTTTGGTGATACTGGGGATGGAACACAAGGCCTTGCACATGGTAGACAAACGCTATCACTGAACTACCTTCCCCAGCCCAGCGTTCCCCACTGTTTTTAACTTTTATTTGGGGACAGGGTGTTGTGAAGTTGGTCAAATTGGGCTTGAGCTTGCACTCTCCTGCCTCAGCTTCCTGAGTGGCTGGGGATTTATAGATGTGTCCCACCACATTTGGTTTGGGAGAGAGAAATTTTTGATGAAGGTGAGAGTGAGGAGGAAGCTGCTGATTAGTTTAAAAATAGAAGCAACCTGGCAAGAGCCCCACCTTTTAAAATAGCATCTTTGCTGGAAGCGCAGCCCACGTCCAGAAATCTCCCTGTGGGCACATCCTCATTCCTCTCACTGGCTGGGTAGCCTTCCTTTCCGGTTGTTTTCTAGGTCTCCCTCTGACTCGGTTCCTAACTCGATGTGGAGCAAGGAGTCGGTTCTCAGGTGTGAGATGAGGAGGTTTCTACTTTCCAGGTCGGCACAGATTAATTAAAGATGCACTGCAGAGTCATCTCCGAGGCCACGTGAGTAGCGCAGGAGCGGCTGCTTGTGCTGTGCCCTGGGGAGTGGGATGCGGTAAGTATACAAAGATGACTGAGCTTAATTAAATGCAAATTCCCAGGGACTCACCTGGCGCTCTGCCTATATTTTATTCAGCTTTTCTATCAATGCCCTTCTTTCTGGATGGGAAATGCTTCTTGTACCATGTGTGTTACAAGGTGGAGGTTCTTTGCTTTTAGAAGTATAGCTAACAAGTGACAAGACTGACTTTCTTAGTACTGTGTATGAGTGCTCTCAATTTATAATCATGCCAGAGTTTTAAAATTTTGTTCAAGTCAATGCATTTTAAGGAGTTATTTTCTAATCTCAATTTCCAGCATTATAGATATGAATGGTATTTTAAGATTGTAACAATGTTTTTCAGATTTATAGCTTTCCAGGCATTGGCAAAAGGAAGGATGAAGTTTGATAACTGGTTGAGTATAGAAATCGAAGTATTTTATTTATTTATTCAAGACAGGATTTCGTATAGTTCAGGCTGCCCTTATTCTCTATGCGTATGTGTGTGTGTTTTATATATTATATATTTTATTTGGGTGTGCATACTTATATTTATATGAACATGTAAATATAAATAATATTTAAAGGTACATATGCATGTTAAATATTTACATAAAACATGCATGTATTTATATACACAGTGTATATTTGTATGAATACTTACACGTATTTGTATACACGTATACATGTATACACATGCATATGTGCATTTTAACTAGATCTTATCTTAGTTCATTCTGTGTTGCAGTAACAGAATACCTGAGACCAGAAACTTAAAACGGTTTATTTAAGGAGGCTGGGAGGTTCAATATCAAGATGCTGGCTTCTGCTGATTGTGCTGTGTTTTAACACAGTGGAGAGCACTGTCTGGGGAGAGAGTACAAGAGAGCAAGAGTTCAGGCACAAGAGAAAGCCAAGGAGACTGGCCTTGGTTTTATGACCAGTCTATTCCTGCAGTGTCAGCCTGATTCGTCCATGAGGGTGGTGACCTTGTGACCTGCCCACCTCTGAAAGGGTTACCTGCCAATACCGTCCCAATGATGAGTGAGTTATACATGACTTTGGAAGGGCATTTCAACCCTTAGCAGGTGGAAATATTTATTAGAGGATACATCTTGTTGGAACAGCCAAAGAATATAACTCACAAGTTGAACAATGTTCCTCAGGTTAGCACTGCAGCATTTAAGGAATTAGTATCTTTCATGTGTTTAATCCTGTGGGAAGTCCTGGCTATTCTACTAGATATGTGGTGAGTTATAAGGCCGCCTTAGTCACTTTCACATTGCTGGAAACATTACCCAATGCCCACAATTTATTTATATTTATTTATTTCTAATGGATTTCAAAATACTGTGGCAGATTTTTGGTCAAGTTGTTTGCATTAAAAAGTATTGATTTTTAAAACTAATAACTTAAAAACTGCTACATACACACACACACACACACACACACACACACACACAAATAAATAGTCCACAAAACATTTTCTCCTTCCAAAGGTTTGCATTGTGAGCATTATCCAGTCTTTCACAATTAAACTTAAACAGTCAGTTGAGAGAAACAGCTCTGAGATTGGTCTTCCACCACTGATTAAGCCTGGAGTGGCGGTGTTAGGATTAATATTCTTGTAGCCTTCTGAGCTTTCTGGGCAGACTTAGTGACCTTGCCAGCTTCAGCAGAACTTCTTGTCTGCTGCTTTGATGACACCCACAGCACCTGTCTGTCTCATATCATGGAAGCAAAATGACCAGAGGTGGTTACAGAAGCTCTCCACACGTGGGCCTGCCTGGAACTATGTCAGCGATGGCAGCATCACCAGATTTCAAAAGTTTGGGCCCAGCTTCCAGCTTCTTACCAGACCGATGATCAGGCTTTTCTTTCAGAGCAGCAAACTTGCAAGCAATATGATCTGTGTGACAGTTCAGTACAGGGGACCTGGCCGGGATGGTTCAAGATAACCACCAGAGCTGTGACACCAGCTGCTTCCTTTGGTGGGTCATTTTTGCTGTCTCCAGCAACATTGCCACGATGAACATCTTTGACAAAAACATTCTTGACACTGAAGCCCACTGAAGCTGTCCCCAGGAAGAGCTTCACTCAAAAGCTTCATGGTGCATTTCAACAGGCTTCAGTTTTTACACTGATTGGAGTGAAGGTGACCACCATGCCAGATTTGAGAACACCAGTCTCCACTCAGCCCATAGGAACAGTACCAATACCACCAATCCTGTAGATATCCTGGAGGGGCAGCTGCAGAGGCTGTCAGTTGGCGAGTGAGTGGAAGGATACAATACAAAGCGACAAGCAGTGTGGTTCCACTGGCACTGCCATCTTTATGACTCCAGCCCTGGAACCAAGGTACATAAGCACTCAGCTCCAGCATGTTGTCAGCATTCCAACCAGAAATCGACATAAAAGGAACCACGTCAGGGTTGTAGCCAATTATCTTAATGTAGGTGCTGACTTCCTTAACAATTTCCTCCTATTTCCTCTGGTTATAGGGTGGCTCAGTGGGATCCATTTTGTTGACACTGACAATTAGTTGTTTCATACCCAGCGTGTAAGCCACAAGAGCATGCTCATGGGTCTGTCCAGTCTTGGTGATACCAGCTTCAAATTCACCAACACCAGCAGCAAATAGGACAGCACAATCCTATTTGTGCCTGTAATCATGTGTTTTGTTGTTGTTGTTTTTTGTACTGGGAATCAAACTCTTGACCTTGCGTTTGCCAAGCAGGTGCCAGTGCCACTGAGCTAAACCCCCAGTCCCTCTGTAATCATGTTTTTGATAAAGTCTGTGTCTAGGGGCATCAATGATAGTCACATAATACTTGCTGGTCTAGGGGGCTGGGGATTTAGCTCAGCGGCATAAGCACCTGCCTTGCAAGCAGGCAGTCGTGAGTTCGATCCCTGGTACCAATAAAAAAGAAAAAAAAGACAAAAAAAAATACTTGCTGGTCTCAGATTTTCACAGGGAGATGTCAATGACGATACCACAGTCCTGCTCAGCTTTCAGTTGGATTATCCAAGACCCACATATATTGAAGGACCCCATTCCCATTCCAGGAGCCTCCTTCTCAAATTTTTCAAAGGTTCTTTTGTGCATGCCACCACATTTGTAGATCAGATGGTTGGTAGTGGTGGACTTGACAGAATCCATGTGTCCAGTGATGATGATATTAATGTGACTCTTTTCCATTCCCATGTTGCCTTTGATTTAGTGGTGGTTTTCACTATACCTGTGCTCTCGTGGCAAACCCGTTGTGAAAAAGGACACAATTTAAAGCAGGAGAGGTTTACTTTGGTTCAGTTTCAGTGGATTTAACCCACTGGCTCCAAGACAGAAAGATTGTAGAGGAGCATGGCAGAGGAAAAGGTGGCTGTCCCGAGGCAGTCAGGAAGGTCACACCTCCAGTGACAATTGTTTGATAAACTCAAAGTTTAACAAGGCTTAACAGTGATTTTTTATTAACATGAAGTTCAATCCAAAAGATAAATTCAGAATCCTGTTTCTTTTGGGAACTCTAAAGTTAAGATAAACATGATGCAGTGAAAACCCTTGAACTGGGCTGGCAATCAAGGCTGGTTTCCTGTGTATAGCGCCCCTGGACAAGGCAGTGTTCCATTCCTATTCATACTCCAACAGCAAAGTTTCTAACAGTATGCTTGTAGAGAACACGTTTTCTCTGCCATGTGTGCTTGGTGTTCACTAATGAGAGCCGTTCTACAGATTTGTGTAAGTACGGCAAGATGGAGGTAACTTTTTGATGGAGGCAGCAAGAGATGATAGATGTGAAATTCTGAAGGAAGCATTAAAGCAAGAAGCAAATTTACAAAGGAAATTTAGCTATTTAAAAATCTTGTACTCAAAATAGGATCACCAAAAGCAGGGGAAGAAAGAGTTTAGGAAAGAATCTATGAAGCAGTTTTCTTTGAAGAAAGTAATACTTGAGTCTAGGAACCAGCTTTGAAGATCTTGTCCATCATCTTCCTGCAGGGAGCCTTAAGTAGGACCACAAAGGCCAAGTGCGTCACGTACTCTGCTACAAATATTTGAAATGTTTGACATTGGCCTGACCCGTCTCAACTCTGAAGGGAAAAGTAAGAGGGAAGAGAATGCTGAATACCAGTTTATACTCTGCATATTTTCCCTTCTGAGTTTGGCAGTAAAGTATGTATGTTTCTTGAGGATCTGATGAGAGCCATTTTCCAGAGAGATCTGGGCTGGAGATGTTTAAATGCTGCCCCAGAGGAAACCCTGGAGAGGTGAAGGAACCTTCTCCTTTTCCCCCTGCATGAGAATCTATACAAAGTGGCCCGCAGGAAGCCAGAAACTAAGGGGGAAGTAGCATCTAGGGAAAACTGCGGGGCTACATCCAGGTTCCAAGGAGAAGATCTCTAAGAACGTTCAAAAGCAGGCAAGAGAGGAAGTGCAAGCTGCAGTCACTGGCCAGTCTCAGACTCAGTCATCTGCCAGAGCATCTGAAAAAGGAAAAGAGAGCCATGCCAAGGAGCAGAAGGAAAAGCTGGAATGCTTAGAACAGATTGCTTCTCCAAGGGCTTCTGCTGTGCCCTAATGCAGTCAAATAAGATGTCAACCATGGGTCCTATTCATTGTTATATATCTAGACCTAATTTTTTTCCTGGCGAGTAATAACCACTTCATAAATCTATGCCTAGATTAATGAACGAATGCTGATTTCTCTGGTTATTCTAAAAAACAACAACAAAAAACAAAGGCCAATAATGATTGTACTCCAACATTAGCAACTTAATGTTATTTCTTTCAGAAACTTTTGTACTAGAAGACAAATTCTCTAGTGTGGTCTCTAAGCTCCATGTCTGCCCTGTTGGTTCCACTGCCTGTGCGGGCCAGTCTACCCCACTCTGGCCTTGCTTCTCTGTCTGTGCCGCCTTCCCCATCTCTTTCCTTTTTACTTCAGGGCCACTGCCTTCATTTCCTCTGCCTTGGAGTGTTTCCTCAGTCAGGCGGTAATTCAAACCTCGTGGCATTT